TGGTATACTTTTTCTTCCCCAGTCTTTACTTCTAGGCACCAATACATTTTTTTCATGAAGCATGAGCAAAGCCTGAAGTGCAAGCCAAGACCTCAGAAATGTGATCGCTGTTACCAAGGATTTGAGAGTAAGAATACAAAACCTAGAATCAAGATTTCAATGCTGCACTCTAGTATCTGAGGTGGCACAGGTCCCACATCAAATATGGAATAAATAAGGCATTAAGCAACCGCACGATTTGTTCTGGGTTCCTTAGCTGGAAGTTGGGCTTCCCTGGTGGCGCAGACACGAAAGAATCTGCCTGCAGTGCGGGAGACCTGGGTTCAATTCCTGAGTAGAGACGATCCCCTGGAGAAGGAAATGGCTGCCCCCTGCAGTATTCTTGCCTGGAGAATTCCATGGACAAAGGAGCCTGGCGGGCTACAGTCTATGGGGTTGCAAAGAGTTGGACACTTAACACACTCCTAAGTTGGAAGTGGAAAACCCCATCACACACCATTAGGTTCTCTTTACCTGGCTTTACTGAACACTGAGTGTAAAAGAACCCCAAACACTTCCACTGTTGGGAATGTCTGGACATTTATGTTTAATTGGGATGTAATATGCATCTGAAATAGATATGTTGACCTACTTTGTTAAGAAGTGGAAACATTAAAGTGACGCTGCCTCTTAATGCCAGATGAGCTAGGAGAAATAATTTAAATACTTGATCACCTGGTCCACAAAGCCGTGGGTGATGAGTGTCTTTCTCTCCACGTCTGTGCCCTGAGTAGAATTAGGAAGGCAGTCACCTGGGGGGTGACAGTTTTGAATGGTCACTAGGAGGGAGGGTAGAAGAACTGAATGTGAATTAGTGACATCTGGTATCCCGGTGGGTGGGAGCGGGGTGGGGGTGGTCTATAGCTCTAGAAGAGAGAGAGGTATAGTTTGAAGAATGCTGGGAGCTAATAACCAGATTACCAGAACTTGTAGGGAGTCCTCAAAGGCTAGCCTGATACATTTTTTACTTATGAAAGAAACATCCAGAGGGTTGGTGGTGGGCACCAAGAGCTTCAGATCAGCGCCACCAAAGGTGTGCGGCTCGTGGTGGAGTTTGCTCTGTGCTGGCAAAGCCCACCTTTCTGCCTAGCTCTTCGCTCTTGGCTGGTTGAGTTCTGCCTCTGTCTGTCCAGTGTCCACCAAGGGGCCTGGCGGCGGCTCCCTTTTCTTGGGCTCTATACTTTCAACCAGTTTTGAGCAGCCCCATTTCAGATTGGCCTTTTTATGTTTGATATAAAGAATAGTTGTTGGCCAATTTCATCTTTTCATCGCTGTTCTCTAGGCCTGAATCCAAGCAGTTTGTCAGATGCTCATTAACTCCCCCTTTGGCTCTTTCTGGTGTGTCTCCTAAGCTCATTGTGCCAAGAACTAACGCTTTCTTTTACACGATTCTCTTTCTCTGCTCCATCAGGGAGACAAATTACTTTCCAAAAGGGATCGCCAGGGATGGTTTAATGAGAATTTCTTTGGGGCTAGGCATGGAACGCAATGTAGTTAACATTCGGTGGACTTAATTGGACTTTTCTTTTCTGCCTCTTTTTAAAAAAATCTGAAGCTATCCTGTTAATCTCTCATTTGTAATCAATTGTGTTGACTAAACAAAAGTCTAGGTCGTCTTTTCTTCCTGTCCCAGACAATCCTTTGTTGCCTCTAAATGCCTCATTCTTGAGTGATCCTGGTCGCGTAGATGGGCCCGATTGTTGACAGTTCATTATTGCGCTTTTGTCCATTAATCTTTCTTGCTGTGTTTTGCATGTGCATGCCTTAATGAGCTCCGTTGGCAATTAACATGTTTCTAGGAGCAAACTGGTTGCTCAGACGTTTGAGAGGGAAGTGCAGGGAAAAGGGCAACGCAGCTGCCTTGAGGTTGTTTATTTCCCAGCATTTTCTCAAGACTCCAGTCCTCTCTCTGGCAGCACCCCCCTCCACCCCTCACTGTTATGCACTCCCCAGCTCATTCACCACCAGCACACCTGGATGCCTTGTTGCTGTGATTCTCGGGCCTGGCTCAGGCGACTCCCTATCCTCTTGTGAGCCAAACAGCAAAACGGGGACCTTACAGAGACACTTCTGCAGCCGAGGCAAGAGTGAGCACAAGTGCCCCCCAAAATGCGTCTGGATGCTGGCAACTTCTCTGTGTCGCTCTTTGCAGAGAGGAACCTCTTACCCGCCTAAGGCAATAGGACTGTACAATCTGTTATGTACAAGGCTGTGGCTTTGGAAGAAGGAGGGTTTTTTTTTTTTTTTTTGAGTCTTGCTGGCAAGATTGCTGAAGTGTGAGCAGTCATGGACAGAACAAACATCTTGTAGGGGAAAAGATAATTGGAGTCTTTTTTGTGTCTGTGACAGGATTCCCCTCCCCCGCAATTTGATTTTTTTAAAATATTTTTTAAGGGCGGCCTCTTCAATTTAATCAAGGTTAGAATATTAATATGTGGCTGATGACTACCTTGTTTAAGTCATTTGTTAATAATGCAAACTACAAGTCATGCAAACAGCTTAATATTAAGAGGCAAAAAAAAAAAAAAAACCACCCACCAAAACCCCCAGAAAATAGAACCTTTCACCCATCAATTCCGATGCATGGGGAATAACCTAGAAGGATCTCAGTGAGGACAGTTACTTACAACAGCTTAGCGTTGGCGTCAGAACCTGCACTGGCTGTGAAAGGTGTTTAGTCATACATAGAGAAGGTTCCTTTTCTCCTCACACTACTTTCCAGGTGAAGAAATCCTTTTTTGAATCCCCCTCAACTGAAGGAAGCAGGTATCTTAAACTGAGGAGGAGGGACTTCAGGCGAAGCAGCGCTAAGCCCTATAGATATGGAAGAACTCTGTTTATCTACAATTACTGCCAGATGTGAAATAACACCTTCTCAGGAGAGAGCGATTGACAGGCGCTGGTGTGAAGGTTAAGTAACAATCAGGTTATGAGGGAAAAACCTCAAGGAGGTTGGAGTCAAGTAACTCTGCTCAGGTTCCACTCAGAGCTCTGATTCCTTACCTCTCCCCGACGGCAGAGAGAGATGAGCGGTTCAAGAGAGAAATGCCTCCTGTTCCACGCATTAGTATTATCTCATTTGCAGTCCTTTGCAAACATGGGGCATCTTCAGCCTTCTTCAGAACCGTCACCTGGAAATAAATGTCTCCAGTTTATGAGATGGGCAACCCTTTTAGTCCTTCTCCTATGAAAACATTACAGAAGAATTTCTTCAGAGAACCATTCTCTCATTTGATGGTTAGAAAGTCATTTCCCTGGATGGGAGTGCCCCATCGATTTTTTATTTATCTTTTCTTCTTAAGGAGAAAGAGGAGAACCGAATCACCTTTCCCGAATGCAGGCCAACTTTTTAAACCCAATTCTCTAAGAATTCTCTAAGAGGAGGCTTCTGTACTAAATTTTGTGGTGTCTGCCCCTTGCCCAAACTTCTGGAACTATTTAGGAAGAAGGTGGGCTTGCCCTGGCCAGTGTCTGGTCTCCAAGAAGCCCCTCTGCCAAGGATCCTTCCAGAGATGCAAGAAGCAAAGGGTTTTTGATTGAGACAGTCGGAGGGCACCCAAGAGCTCCCAGAAATGGGGGAGGGGTGTGTATCTGTGAGGCGGGGCTAATAAAACCTAGGGAAATAAAACTGGGATAAGATCGGACTCCTCAAAGCAGCCCGCAAGCCCCCTGGGGATAGATGTCTGGGAAGAGCAAGGCGCTATTTCCGTATCTTTAGCCGCCAAGTCCTCCTCGCCCAATGTGGGGTTTCCTGGGGTTTGTGGCATCCACCGAGATTTCGGAGTTAAATCTGCATATCCCTCTGGGTCCCAATCTCCCCTCAGCGAAATGCAGCCAGAACGAGCTAACATTTAAATTCCTCCTCGCTTCCTCGCCCCCCTCCCCTGGCTGCGTCTTCCCAGACTTGGGAGGGGGAGAGGAATACAAAAAAAAACGAGGACGCTCTCCTTTCAGGAAATGGAATTCTAATGTACACGTTCCTATTTCTGAATCGGAGGTACTAAAAATACCCCCGCGACAGCCTGAGGAAGCTGTCGCTGTCCTCTGTGCAAACAAAATCGACAATTCTCCTTCCCCGCGCAATGGGTCTGTGAATCCGGCGGGGGTTGGGGTGAGGACCCAACCTTTGGCTGTGACCTGTACGGAGCTTGCACCCAGCAGCCGAACGTCTTCTCCCGAGTCCCAGCTGGGACATTCCTCCCCCACCAACGAGAACTGAAGGCAGTTGGGATTTTCTAAAAAGCCTTGACTCCGATTCCTGACCCTACCTAGTCCTGGGACCCTAGGCAGGTCATTTGGTTTTGATCGCTGCCTCAATTTCTCCATCCTTCCACAGGATGAGAATAATCACCCCCCAGCTTGCGGGTTGTGAACGTTCGAAAGAGTATGGTTTGAGTGGCGTGGAGCAAGCGCTCCAGCAATGTGAGCTTCTTTGATTGTGGGAGCCCCTGGCGCAAGCAGCGCTAAGCGCCTACTGTATACCGGGCTCTGGCATAATCCCCACTCAAGTCACTTTCAGACTTACTTGGGGATTTCCTTTTGCATCAACCATCTTTCCCTCCAAATACCCTCTACCTGCAGTGGGAATCCGCGTGGGATCAGCGCCCAGACGCCGCCGCCCTAGCCCTTGCAGTGGCGAGGCTGCCTGGAAGCCCACTCCCCGGCCCCGCGCCACATTTCCTTCTGGCGCTGGGGAACATTGTTCCAGAAAACGTGGGCTGAATCGCGGCGCGAATATTAGGGGCGGGAGGAGAAGGCCCGGCGCGCCGAGCCAGTAATCCGAGCTCTTGATTATCCAGATTCGGATCAAACGGGGCGGCGGCGGCCGGCCCCCTCCTGGGAATGATTAGATGATTAATGTAATGCTGTTTGAAGGGTCTCTGTTTTCTCTCTTAATTTGGGTCATTACTTAGAAAGCAAGCGTGAGATCATTTCATCAGCGTGCTCGGTGGCGGAGATAGCTATTCAGGAAATGGGCTAACTGCGCGGTAATCGGAACTCGGGGTGGCGACAGCGGCTGCGAGCTGCGGGAGCCCGGGTGCGCCCTCCCGCGGCAGGGCGCACAGCACCCGGAGGCCGGCCCCAGACCACAGCGCGGGCCGTGGAGCCCCAAAGCCCCAGATGGGCTGGGACACTTGGCCCCCAGTTCTCGCCGCCAGGAATGATTGAATGGAAGAGTGGCTCCCCTTACATCACCCAGACAAGAGGGTGTACCCAGAAGCGCCCCGGCGCGGCAGTGCTCCTGCCATTTACCCCACTGTGGTGCGCCTCTTTGCTCTAGGACACGCACCTCAAACCTGCTCTCCCAACACCTAGCCACTTTTAACCCCTTCTTTTTTTAAAAACTCACCCAAATATGGCAACACCCAGAATCCCTTGGTCAGAACAGTTAGCAAATAAAAACTTGGTACAACGTGAGGGCCGTTGCATCCTTGGTTTCTGGGGGCATCTGAACACGTTAGCGTGGCAGGAGGACCGATATGGCCTTACCCTGGTCCCAGTGCCCACAGAAGACGTCGCATGTGGGCGGCCGAGAAATGCTAAAAATGCCTATTTCTTTTTCATTCTTTATGGTTGCTGAGCTGACTTGCGGCGAGGGGAGAGGGGTGAAAGAAAAGACGCACTAAGGATTCTGTTTATTGAGTTATATATGTATATATTCCGTGTTCGTGTGTACAGGAGAATTTACATGGCTGTATAAAGATGGCTGGGGGCGCCGCGCTCTTCCGGGACGTTCACGTGACAGGCTGGGGTTAAAACCCACCGCCGCCGGAGGAGAAGCCAGAAGCCGAGGCCTGGAATTAAATACGTTTCGGCGCGCTGGGTTTAAATAAGTTTCCCGAATATACAAAGGTGGGGAGCCAGGCGTTTGCTGCCAGTCATCGAGGAAACGTTTAGCTTTCCAAAAATATGCTGGTTTCGATAAATAGATTTTAGCCTTTCTGCTATAGCTTTTTTTTTTCTCTCTCTCTCTCTCCTTTCTCTTAATTTTAGAAATAAGTTTATACGTGTGATCTGTTTGGGGGTTGGATAGGACTGGAAGGGAGGGTGAGGCAGGAGCTCTCAGCTCTGCACTGTCCGAGTCAGGTCCTTTGTGGAGGGGGCGGCGGGGCCCACGCTGTCGTGGAGTTTGCGCACGTGTTTCTTTAAGTCAAAGTTTCTGCAAAACCCTTTGCCGCAAGTGGCGCACGTGAAAGGCTTCTTGTCGTTGTGGGTGTGCATGTGGAAGGTCAGGTTGTAGACCTGGTGGAAGGCCTTGTTGCAAATGGTACATTTGTACTGCTTCTCGCCGCTGTGGGTCAGCTTGTGATTCTTGTAGTTCCCTACAGGAGACCAAAAACAAAAAGGGGGGGGGGATAAAGTGGGACGGGGAGGGGCCGGGTGTCCCAGGGTTGGCTCAGGTGCCCGCGTAAAGAAGGCGACGCTTGGCTAGGCAGGCGCGACCTCTCCGAGTGAAGAAGTTGTCAAACTTCGTACGCGTCAAGCCCCGGGCTCTCACTACAGGATGGAGGGCCGAGTCCCGCGTAGCCGCCCCGCGTCCCAGCCCCACCGGGGCCTGAGGCCCGAACAGCATCCCTCCCGCTGAGCTCCGCCGGCCCGGAAACTTTTGTGCTGCTCAGAGAGACGCATGGGGCCCTTGTCCGGGCCGCCGCCTCGCTCGAAGAAATTCGCATGAACCCGGGCTTCGTCCCCTATTATTATTATTTTCTTCTTCTTATTTTTAAAGTTACTCCCTGTGGTCCCCTAACTACCACTTGGAGATCCGAACGTGCCTGGAAAAATCCAAGCAGAATTCTGGAGACAGTAGCGGTTTCCCCCAGTCTAAACTGTTCCCAGGAGGTGGGTTACGCCTCGAATTTTTTTTTTTTTTTCCATTTTCAAAAGAATCCCGGGTACAAAGGGACGCTTCCTCCACAGGGCAATACCTTGTCTTTCTCCAACTTCCTTTCCCTCTACCCCTTTCCTTCTTCCCATCTCCCTAATTCACAGTCTCCCCGTGCAATCAGCTTGAGTCCAGCGAGCTCTACTAATCCAACCCGGAGAGCTTCCACCGAAACCCCGTACAACCCGATTCCAAAGAAATGCTGCGCCCGAGCCCGCGGCCCTCGCGCGGTCTCTCTCCAGATCCTTCTTTGCCTTCCCGCTAGCGATGACCTGCCGAGTCCCAAGGGGAGGTGAGGAGAGGGCCTCGCCCGCACGTTACCTTTTTGGTGAAAGCCTTTGCCGCAAAATTCACAGACGAAGGGCTTGTAGCCCGCGTGGATGCGAATGTGTGTGTTGAGCGTGGAGCTGCGGTTGAAGGCTTTGCCGCACTGGTTGCATTTATGCGGCTTTTCCTGCGGAGAGGGGCGTGCGCATCGTGAGGCTGAGGCCCCGGCCGGGAGAAGCCACCTTGGGGGGGCACCTGAAAGGGGCACGCCGAAGGGACAGGGGCCTCTGGTGGGGGTTATAAGGGGAACCCTTGGCCATTCTCTCCCCAACCCCATCACTTAGTTCCGGATGTTGGGTACGGGTCGAGCTGGACCCGGGGCCCACGTACCTGGGTGTGGATAATTTTGTGTCTGCAGAGCGTGCTGGCCTGGCGGAAGCCTTTGCCACAGACTTTGCACACGAACGGTCTGGCTCCGGTGTGGACTGGCATATGGCGGGTGAGGTTATAGTGAGCGTTAAATACCTATGGAAGCACACACGGGGGCCTTGTGGCTGTCTGTCCAAGAGTCCGCCTGGCAGGGCCGTGGAGGGAGGGCGCGCAGAGACCACCTCCCCCAACCGAAAACCCCCTTCAGAAACCACAGCCCTTTTCATTTTGTAAAGAGCTTCCCAATCCACTGTTCGTGCCAGTCCTGTGAGGCCGCTGACAAAGGCATTCCCATTTTATAGAATAAGAAACTGAGGCCCAACTGCGCCCTCAATTCGGGTAGACAGCTACTAGGGAGCTCCCAAATTTGAGAAAGGGGCTGTCCCGGCTGCCCCTCAGGGAAGCAGCTGCTCACCCCTCCCAGCCCCCCAGGACCCCGAGCCTCACCTTTCCGCACACCTCGCAGGTGAAGTTTTTAGGCTTGCCGTCCGCTGAGCCCCCGGGCAGCTTGCTGTGGCCCTTGACGCCGCCGCGCTCGGCAGTCAGGGCCGAGTTCTCCTTCAGCACCTGCTCCAGCGGCGCAGGCAAGCGCTCCTTATGGGCGTAGGGGGCTGGATGGGCAAACTTGTCCGCGGTCAGGCCGGCCAGCTTGGCGTTCTCCAGCAAAAAGAGTTTGGGGTGCGCAGCCAGGGCCGCGGGGGCCTGTGTGTTGAGGAGACCGGACGGGAAGAGGTGGCCGCCGAGGAGCTCAGACGGCGGGTACGTGGCGGAGTCCAGGTAGTTGAAGTAGTAGAGCGAGCCGCTGGCCGGAAGCCCCACCGCCTGGTTGATGACCTGCGGCTTGATGACCCTGCCCGCGGGCAGCGCCGACGGTACCAGGCCCAGCTCGGCCTTGCAGCACACGCCACAGTTGGTTTTGCACAAGCCGCTGGCGCCGCACACCGGGGCCCCCCCACCGCCGCCTCCACCTCCTCCTCCGCCGCCGCCGCCGCCGCTGCCGCCCGCCCGGAGGCTGCTTTTCCAGAGCTCAGAGTAACTGAGCAGCGTCTTGGACGGCATCTCGTAGCCTAGGGGCTGGAGGGGGATCATACAGGGCAGCGGCGAGCAGAGGTTGAGCAATTTCTTGCCCTGGCCGCCCTCCGCCTCCAGTGCCCCCGGCCGGGGCTCAAAGGGCGCGCGGGGCTCCGACGTCTTGGCCATGATGCGCTCGATGGAAAAGGCCAGAGTCTTGGAAGTGGCCGGCGACGCTCCAGCGCGCGGGCAGGCCGGGGGCACCATGGTCTCCAGGGAAGCCGAGCTTGCCATGGCGCGCCGAGCCGAGTCGTACCGGACTGGGCCAGGGCGCAGCCTCTCTCCTCTAAGTCTGCATTCCGGAAAAGGCAGGGAGGGAAACCGCAATTTAATAAGCACCTTGTCGGGTCCAGGTCACCCATTTGCATTCAAATGAACAGGGGCAGAACAAAGTGCACCCAAGGGTACCAAATTACCGCCCATTAACCCGCCGCGCGGAGCCCACCAGCCCCTGCCCCGGGACTTTGAAAGGGGGGAAAGGGGGAGGGCTTACAGAGGAAGGAGAGAGAGGGAGAAAAAGAAAGAAAGAAAAGAGCCTCAAATTAACCCTCTGAGCCGCTCCCTGGACCCCGGCCTCCGCCACGCGTGCTGGGAGCTAGATAGTGAAGGGGCAAAGTTAAAGAGGACCGGGAGAGCCACCTCGCATTTACCTCGTTCCCCCACCGCCAAGGAGATGCGGTCCGAGCCATGCAGCCTGTCTCCTCTGTCACATTTTGATGGCAAACATCTTCCCCTCCGCGTGAGATCACTGTCTTTTACATTCAGCTGACATCACATGAAGTCACTTGAAGTGGAATGACATGGGCGGCGGCGCGGCTCCCGTAGCGGCCCCTGTGTCCCACCGCGCCTGCCGGCCGCTGCCGCCACCGCCCCTCAAACTTTAAAAGGAGGCAACTGGCGCCCGCGCTCCCCGCGGGAAAGTGCGAGCGGTTCGCGAATGGGGAAGGAGGGAAGAGACGGGAGGGGGAGGGGGAGGAATCGTGATGGTTTTGCCGGTGGAAAAAAAAGGGGGGGGGGAGCCCAAACCCAGGCAGAGTTCCGTGCGTGATTCACAACTTTGGGTTTGGGGGACGCGGAGAGGGCAGGGGTTCCCGGGCGCGCCGCCTCAAAGGGACCCTGGGTGTCCGTCTAGTCACCGAAGTATCCCTTAACCCTCTGCAGCGCGCTGGGCATCGTGCTAATAAACTGCCATTTACCCACGGAGCCGGCGCCAGCCCCGAACACGCGCAAATGATAATTACCTCATTAGGATGTGGCGCAGGGACGCGGGCGCCGCGCTTGGAGGGGGGAACTTGTTAATGGGGAAATATTAATTTATGCAAAAACAACCAGCTCGCCTTGGCTGGCGTCGGAGGTCGGGAGAGAGCTCCCGCAGCCAAAGGACGACCCCGTAGCGTCCGGAGGAGCAAGGCCGCGTGCCCAGATCCTGGGGGCTTCAGCGCCTGGAGGGTGCGCGTCCCCCTCTCCGACTCGCTCTCCGCCTGCGGCTGAGGGAGGCTGCACCCCGAGCGGGAGGGCTGTTTGAGAGCTTGATTGATCGGGATCGCTGATTTGTGATCGGGTTTCTGAGGCAAAGCCCGACTCCGCTGCGGCTTCAGGGCTGCGAGCAAGGAGGATTCCGAGGGCAGGTCTCCCCGCTGATGGGTACTTACTGTTTGTATAATTGAGACGGTCCAATCTCCACCTGTTTAAGGAGCAGATTGAAACAGCAGAACCTCCCCTGGATCCTATTAAAACGTTTTTCCTCCTAAGGCCATTCAGTCGAACCAATTTTCCGAAGTGATTCATAGAGCTGAATTCTGCCAAGGCAGCTCTTTCACTTTTAGCCACTAAAGCACCGCGTGGAACCGGGTTTTGTGTTTTTCTAAAATAAAGAGAAGGATTATCAGAGGGGAGAGGGAGGAGGACTGAAGGGGGGCGGGCAGAGACTTAGTGTGGCCAGAGGTACACGCAGAGGGAAGAAAAGGCCCTTTTCTAGACAGGCCCCAAGTAAGTTCGGAGGAATTCAGCGTTTTGTGCCTCTCCACAAAAGCAGCGCGCTCCACGCTTGGTTTGGAGGGGCTGAATTCATCTGTTTGCAGACCATTCCACCTGCGTATCACAACAAACTGCTCAAAGACGCTCCAGCACTTTTAACAGGCCGGGTGCTCTTGGCGACAACAAAAGTGATCAACGTTGAGGGTTCTTATGGGGAGGGGGACAGCGGCTAGCAAGAGAGCGAGGGAAAGAATTACGTTTAGGAAAGGAGGAGAAGGGGGATTCTGGGGTTAAAAAAAAAAACAAACTTTTGGAGGGTTTTGTTTGCTGGACAATTATATCTTGCCTGCCGGCTTTTGCAAGACCAGGAGCTTTGTAGCAGCAACTACAGTTTCAGAGGATTATGGTTGGTATAATATGAGCGAACAGGGCTGAGGGTTTGATAGTGTATTCTCTCTCCAAAGGTGTAAGATCTTGTGGAGCGCCAGAGAGTGCTGGTGGGAAAAAAACCCCTCTCCCATCTCACTCAAGAACACGTCTTGAGGGGGCTGAGTGCCCCATCCCAGGCCTCTCTCCTGCTAAACATCCCAGGAAAATCAGCAGGGGAAAAAGACAGGAAAGGTCTAGTTTTAAATTCAGGCAAACCACTCGTTTCTCCCCTTTGGAATTTCTCTTTCCTACCCACTCGCCCTCTGACGTGTAACTGCAGACAAGATATGGATGTGGCAGGTGAAGGAAGGAAAAGTGTACCTTGAAGGCTAGGAGAGGGAGCAGAGAGAGAGGTCTCCGGGGGAAAGTGTCCTGGATGGCCACTGCCGTGGTTTCATTCTTCCACCCTGCCAAGCCTGGAAACTACCCCTAAATTCAGCAGTCTTGAATCTGTTATCCAGCATTCTGTGCTCACCCCCCCACCCCCAACTTCCAAATTTCAAAGCTAGAAAGAGGCTAACTCCTCTGGAAGAGAACATTTCCATATAGCCTATTTAATTTAGATGTTCAGAGAGGCAGAATTCCAGACTCAGTATGCCCCCATCCCTATGTTAATGTAAAAACAAGACAGATAAACTACCCCTTATCCCACCCCACCACCAAACAGGAAACGATTTAAATCAACAACTCACCCTGACATTGAAACAGTATCAATAACACCCGAAGGTCTCACAACCTGAATTTCTATCCCGACTTTCCTGTGGATCCTGTTCAGCCATCAGCACTTGCACCCCAACCCCCTTTCCAGTTTGGGTAATTGTTGATCTCGGCAGCAGCTCGAAAGATCTGCTGGTCTGAAAGCTCCATCAGGCTGAAAGGCTTCCAAAGACTTCCCATGAACCTGCCTTGCCATCCCTAGTGCTTTTTGTAGCTGCAGAAGCCATCTCTCTCTCCCCAGCATCACAAAGGAGTGCTACCTCCACAGAAAGAAAACATTTGGGTAAAAACAAGTTGCCCCTAATGTGCCTCTCTTTCCAAATGTTGGGTGAATACACTGGCTTTTATGAAAGTATTTAATTAGCTTCCACAAACTTCTCCTTCCCTGCCTGCAGATTATATTGAAGTGGAGGGTTGGAAACTATTTTACACCTTGCCACTCACATGTTAATTAATCTCTATCTAACCCTAATTGCAGTTTATTCAAGCACCGCTCAACAGCTCACCCACACAATAAACAGTGATCCTACTTTTATACATATTACTTCACGTTAACACATTGAGTAATTAACTCCAGTACCAACTAATAGTGCAAACAAATATTTTCTGTAAACGAGATGATTTCAGGCAGAATAATAGAGGACTGGGGAAACGTGGCACTCGGTGGAGGCAATGCTGAGATTTCGATTTGCTGCTCCCAGCCCTCTAAATTCATTCTCAACCGCAGAATCTTTTTTCCCCCAGAGGCTGAAATGCTTTTTAGAAAGGGGGTGGGGGGGTGGGGAGGGACAGTATGGAAATGTGACAATTTTTTGGAGTTCTTGGAGGGGTTCTTCAAGAATAAGGACAACTTTTTTCCACCCACACATTTTTAGCGAAGGAAAAAAAATCTGGAGTAACTCGATAGTAAGGGCAATAGGAGGCTAGCTGGAGAGCAACTATCTCAGGGATGTGGATCCATTCATGACAAGTTTTCCAAAACCTTCTCTAAGCAAGTCCTGTCCTTTTAAGCAGTGGTTCTAGGAGAGAAGTGAGCAGTGACTATCCAGATAGATAAGAAATCCCAGGCTCTCTCCCAATCCAGACTAGCATACATGTGGCTCTGAGGGGCTGGTGCCTTGGTCTCACCCCCAAACAAGGCACCTGACCTGGAGGCCCGCGGCCGCGGTGCAAGCAAGGCCCACTAGGCCTCACTCAGCGCGCCGCTCTGCCCCGGGGGCCAAATGACAGGGTGCCTGCCCGCAGTTCCAGAGCACCCGGGCCAGGGCTGACGGCCTTGCTGGACGGCGCGGGCTGCAGCCCTTCGAGGTCGGCCTGTGAGCCCTGGACCCACCGTGGGGTCCTGTCGGGCCCTGTGGCCTCAGCTTCAGGCCCTTCTCCTTCTGGGCGCCTCCGCCGAAAGCCAGACGCTTTCGTCTCGGCCCATCTGGCCCACGTTTGGGCCTCCACAGCTCGGCCGCGATGGAGAAAGACTGCCAGGGTTAAGCCTGACGCCTCTCGGCGGCCGGCGCTCTTCCCACGCCGCAGAGCGGGGTGCCAGGGCCCGGTGCTCCGCAGCTCCGCTGGGCCTGACCCGGACCGCGACCTCGGGGATCGGCGGCTGTGGGACGCCGCGCCTGGAGCCAAGCCGCTCGCACACCACTGACTGCGGATCCAGACTCAACCAGGGACCGGAGCGCAATGTTTTAATTGAAATCGCAGGTTTAAGCACAGCTGGCGGCTGTCTATTGATTTTGCAGAGGCTTCTCTTGTGGGAAGCATATTAAATATGACTGGCACGGCTAGAGTCTTCCTCTCTCTACCCCCTCCCTCGGGCCTTTTTATGGTCACTAAGCCGAACACTGTTAAGGATGACTTTTGTTTTCAAAAATGTCTTAATGCCAGAAATCGCCCTCACTTTAGAATAAATTACTTAGCAGACGCCTTCCCAGGGTGTAGACAACCTCAGAGGAAAACCCCCCTCTGGAGCAAAAGCTCACACGTTTGCATTACTTCTGAGATGGCAGAGGGAAAAGGCAAGCATTTCTACTCCACAGAAGTGTTGCAATTCCAGCCCTGGTGGCTGTGTCTCCTGGTGCTAGATGGCAAGAGGCACTGTTTTTTTTTTTTCT